CCTTCCCCTGGGTCATTTTGACCAAATTTGTTGGTGCAATTTTACTGGCATCTGAGGCGACACTAAAGCATCATGTCACATCATTAATATAGGAATTGCCGCAGTGACGTCATTGTTTTGGTCACGTGACCCCCACCAAAGCGCATCCGGTAGGCAGAAAGCATTGCGAGAACCATAGATTCCAGCACGTTCAAATCGAAGTATTGTCATCACTTTTTCTTTGAGTTGGAGTTTAGTCGAATTCGTTCAGTATGGTAATATCATGTGTTGTTGTTGGATGTGTCAACCGTTTCAAGTCAGGATCTGGGGTGAAATTCCATTGAATACCGAAAGAAAGAAAAGTGGCTCAAAGTCAACAGGAAAAATTGGACCCCGGATCAAGTGGAATATATTTCACTTTCTGTCAGGCTTCATCTTATTATTTACTCTAGAAACTAAATCGGAGAATGAGCTTTTCGAAAGTAATGGAATGTTATTGTCCTGTTTTCGATCATTGGTCATACAGTGGATTTGATTAGCAATTGTGTATATATTTAGAAAATGCGGTGGAAATCAGCCATTTGCCATTTTAGAACATAGATAATACTTATAATTCCATCACAAAATTGAAGCTGAAAACAATTTCATTTACTGTAAATTATTTCATATAGAACCTTGATGACATGTTCTAATTTCATTTATATTGTATTACATTATTAAACTTATTTTAAAGTCTTATATGATACCATGTTGACAGGTTCTGCAAAGAATGATCCTACTAATCCAGACTTCATTCCTCATATTAATATGGGTTATGAGAAGAAAGAATTGGCTACACCAGAGTCTGAACAGGTCAGGTTTCAGAGGGTCAACAGAAGGAATGAAGACAAATCAAGGAGGAATAAAGAACTTGTAGAGATGAAAGATGCTGCCTCTGTCCTGATGGAGATGTCAACAGTGACAAACAGAAGTGAACATCTGAATGATTCTTTGGAGTCACTGGTTCCCCTTGATCATGTTGATGATAAAGTAAATGAAACAGGAGCAGGTGCTTGTTATTTTGCATTATGCTATTATAATGAGTGACAATATACATAATTGGGGTGGTTAAAATACAGGGTATACACCTCACATTGACTCTATCCAAATTGAATTATGTAAACATGAGTAAACATGTTTCTGTATACATTTGTTCAAATTTGCTTGTAATAATGTACTTTACTGCCTTCTTTGAGTGGCATTTTAGAAGTTGGGAAGTACAAAATAGAACAAACTTTATGGATAACAACTTCTTTTTATTCGTGTGAGTGCGACGTTTCGATACAGATTCTTGTACCGTTGTCAAGCATAATGGAACATGAAGAAGGGGGGAAGTGTATATATACTGGATGTAACAATGTAACAAAGAAAACAACATAATTAACATAATTGGCTAGGCAGAAAGCTGATGAAGCCAGAGAGTAGACAAAGGACAGGCGTGGAAGCCAATGATGTACAAATAATAATGAGATGTTTATACAGCAGAGTTTATACAGTAGATTGGGCTTGGTGGATGAGTGCATCATAAGCGGATGGAATGAAGTATCCTTGGTCTCGGTTGATGGTGGGCTTTTGGCGTTTGATGTGGATGGCTTCGGTTAGCTATCAGTATCCCATCCTCAGCCACCCTATGCCCGAGCAACTGTCAAGATCCATAAGAATCCTGTGAAAACTTGTCTACTAGTCTGCTCCCGTGATACGATGTTTTACAATACTGCCCAGCACCTTACCAAAGTACTCTCTCCTTTAGGTAAATCTGCCAACTCCTTCATCAACGACTCAACAGACTTCTGCAGCAATTTACTAATGTACCTAGAGAAGAAGCGCTCCAAGCCTTACGCCACAGAATTGACAAACTTCAACACCAGCCTCTCAACCGACTCCATCATCAGCCTCACCTCAACCTGCATCAACTCCACTTACTTCACCTGGGGGGACGAGATCTATGAACAAATTCATGGACTTCCCACGGGCTCCCCCTTATCCCCCCATCCTAACCAAAATTTACATGACGGACCTGGAAGATAAAGCACTAGAAACTGCACCCTTCAAACCCACATGTTGGTATCGCAAAGTGGATGATACCTTCGTCATCCTCCAACCTCAGCAAGATCCCACTCAGCTTCTCACCAATCTCAACAACCAACATCCCCGCATCAAGTTTACCATGGAAACCGAGCAGAACCAGCAACTACCTTTCCTTGATGTCCTTGTGTCCCGCACCTCCTGCAACCAACTCCAGACCACTGTACTGACTGACTGACTGACTGATTTGGTTTTACGCCGCTTTCAGCAATATTCCAGCAACATCACGGCGGGGGACACCAGACATGGGCTTCACACATTGTACCCATGTGGGGATTCGAACCCGGGTCTTCGGCGTGACGAGCAAATGCTTTAACCACTAGGCTACCCCACCGCCCCCCAGACCACTGTATATAGAAAACCTACCCATACGGATCAGTACATCCACTACAACTCCAATCATCCACCTAAAGTTAAGACCGGCATCATCTCCACGCTAACCAGAAGGGCCAAGAACATCTGCTCAACTAAACTACAAGATGAAATCGAACACCTCAAGAAAGTCTTTGTAGAAATGTAACCACTTTCCATCCCAAATAGTCAACAGAACCATCGCTGCAACCCTGTCACCTCCTACCAAAAGACCCAAACCAGATTCAGCCCCCATCAAGATATCCATCCCCTACATTGGCAAACCGTCACATCAAATCAGCCGTCTACTAAAACAACAAGCTGGCATAGATACCACCTTCTCCGCGTCCTCCAACCTTAACAACATTCTCCATGCCAATGGAAGAAAACCCGCCACCGTAAAGAACAACAGCCCAAAATGTGTCATTTACAAAATAAACTGTGATTGTGGGCAGAGCTACATAGGCGAAACTTCCCGACCCATCAACACCCGAGTGAAAGAACATCAGACCTCTGTTACCAATTCCGACAGCAAATCAGCCATTTCGACCACATCAAAGCAAGCCCCAATCATCAAATAGAGTGGTCTGACATCACCATTCTCTCTAACAAACAAACAGACTTCACTAAACGCAAGCTCACTGAAGCCATCCACATCAAACGCCAAAAGCCCACCATCAACCGAGACCAAGGATACTTCATTCCATCCACTTATGATGCACTCATCCACCAAGCCCAATCTACTGTATAAACTCTGCTGTATAAACATCTCATTATTATTTGTACATCATTGGCTTCCACGCCTGTCCTTTGTCTACTCTCTCCCTCTTTCAGCTTTCTGCCTAGCCAATGATGTTAATTATGTTGTTTTTTTGTTACATTGTTACATCCAGTATATATACACTTCCCCCTTCTTCATGTTCCATTATGCTTGACAAAGGTACAAGAATCTGTATCGAAACGTCGCACTCCAAATAAAAAGAAATTGTTATCCATAAAGTTTGTTCTATATTGTATCCTTGTGTCATGTAAGTTCGATCACTTAAGAACTGTCGCTGAATTTTCAAAGTTATATTCCTATAATCTTATTTTCAAATCTCTTACCTCTAAACTTGTTTATTTATGTCAAACATTTCCAAAATCAAGGTATTTTTACTGCTTTTCACAATCGTGGCATGGCCGCCCTCTCACTGTCAACACAACTGACCCAGAAAGCTACGTCACATAAGTTCGATCATATGATTGGCTGGCTTGTCACGTAAACAGGATGACTTGTAGGGGCGATTTCTTGTGTCAAATTCAGAGTTAGAGCAGTCCCAAGTAATTTTATGGTATTTATGTCCATGAAAGCGTTCATTTTATGTTTCAATACTTCTAAAAGCGATGAAAAGTCACAAATATTCAGCTTATATAGAAGTATTATGCGGGGATTTATTCTTCAGGCTCATCGTGACAGGCATCAAACCTCAGAATGTAGACAAACACCACGAACTGGCTTGCAGAAACGTAAATGTGTTCTGTGCTGACATGTAGGGTGGGTACATTGTGCCAAGGTTGTATTTATCAATGAGGCAATAGCTCGAACTTCATCAGGTACAAATTCACGGAAATTCTCATAAAGCATTAAGTTTTCTATAAGAAATGGCCCTCACTTGTTTCCAAAGTTTTAAATTTTTACAAGGATATCACGTGTCTCGACATGTCACAATTAGACCAGCAACGTAAACAAACAGAAGACAGGGTGCTGTTAATTTACAAGCGTGTGAAATAAGTACTGTTTACATTTTATTGGAGCTGATAAAGTTACATTATTGATCTAGGGTTAAAAAGTAGTTGTTCGCTGAATATGAGCTATAACTTACGTTTGGTAACTTGACACGAAACATTTTCCGGTCCAAACGAATAAAAGTGGTGTCACCAGAAGATCAAAGCTGCAGATATCGTAAGTTATCGCTACGTATTGCGACAATTACCATTCAAAATGGGCGATCGAAGTTACATGACGATCGAACTTATGTGACTTTACTGCCATTGTTAAAGTACCATTTACACTACAGTATTCAAAATTTGCTGTTTACTTTCAGATATACACGACCCATGCCTGAAGAAAATCGCCAGTCTACAAAGGGAGAACAGACAGCTTTTAGATGAATTGAGTGTGCTGCAGGATGAACTGAGAGAAACAAGGAACAAACTTGGAAGTGCTAAATTAGGAGATGCCTTCTTAGCAGGGGGGATAAGAGATGCAAGGACTGTCTTTTATACTGGTATCCCAACACATGCTGCATTTTTGTGGTTGGTGCAGTTTTGTACCTCTGTTTTGCCAACATCCATGAAGCTGAACCCTGCAAGTGTTCTAATGTTGGTGTTGATGAAACTAAGACTGAACACAGCTGATATGGACTTAGCTTACAGGTTCGGAGTCTCGCGTCAGCATGTCAGTGACCTTATCAACTCTAGTTTAGTTTAGTTTAGGGTACAAAAAAACTTCATCTGTCGACACACAAACTTCAGCCCGTTCTGTTCAAAATATTGTCTGCAATTACCGTGAACCTTGAAGCCTGGGTTGTCCCAAGAAAACTGTACAGTGGAAAATGGGTTGTTACGACCTTGTGAAGTTCAAGGCCGTTTAGAGTGTTTGGGCCCGAAACTTCCGGTGACCATTGTTGACAGTGGATAGATCTACAGCAAAGTTGAGATGGTGGATCCAGGCCGATATATTTGGCTGGCGTTTTCTATTCTCGCGGTACTTACAGATATCGGCTGAAATATAACACAAACAATTCTTACCGTATGAATGCTTGATGTTTTTTAAGGGAAAGGCCTTCTGTATCTAACAGCTGCTATCTGCTATATAGATCCATGAGGTGACACTCGTGAGCCCGCCCTAAGTGACAAGTGGCAGGTTGGTCAGTATGCAACAGGAGAACAGCCTACGAACGATATTAATTATGGTGGACTGGCATGCCACTGTAGATAGCAAAGAAGGAAAATATTTGCGGTCTGCGGCCTGATTCGTACTCGGGAAAATCGCAATGGCAGTTGTAAGAAGTAGAGTAACTTCCCTTGAACTGCTCATTCCAGTGGGGATTGACTGGTTCCCGGATCCTCCGAACTTACTCAATCCCCCAAGTACTGTAAACGTACTTATTTTCGTATGTAATATACTTACGGAAAAAAGTAACTGTACAAAACATAACATTGTATGAAATGAATGTTATTTGAAAAGTTATAAAAATAACCCTAAATAAACATGTAGCAAAGCACTTTAATATTGTATGAAATTTGATCGCGTGGCACGTGCACAAAAACATGTAAAACACGTTAATTTCAACCTAAACTTTACTGGCTACAGTAGCGAACAGTTATCGCCAATACATTGATCAGTTATTACACGTGCGCAGCTCCGGTCATTTAAAATTCCGGGGTTTCCCCACGCTAGATATGACAACAATAATTAAGGACAGCAAAAGAAAATTCTTCACGGCAAGTAACATAAGAGAAAAATTAAAGATAAAGCTATGAACCCTATAAACATGTTTTAACTTAGTCGGGGGGATGTCCCACGACCTATATAATAGCAAATTCAAGTTAAAGAAACACTCAAATAGTAACACAATTAATCATTCGAGGGTACTGTATGATAGAAATATATAAAGTACTGTCGGAAATAGAAAAAAACTGTTTTAGGCTGTGACTCTGTATCCCTAAAATTTACACAATTGCAAATAGCATATTATGTCGAAAGAACCCAATTCGGCCTAACTGGGCGTTCAGTGGGATGCGGAACACGATATCCAGAAAAGCATGTTTACTCGTAATATCGGGCAGAACTTAGAAAAAATACGAATAGCCGCTGAAAACAATAGATCAGACTATGTAGATGGCAATTAAGTCGCTCAGCCAGGTATGACGACGGACAGTCGACACACCTGGCATGAAATGCACGTGTTGCCTACAGGCACAAGGGGTCATCTCAAAGATTTTTGTGCTTTTTCATGTGTGTTGACTATGTCTCATCTATTAATAAACATCTAACGTGTCATTCTTTCATAAAGTTTACGTTGAGATATGTAAAAGAGTATGATACCCGAAAACCATCTAAACGCATCGTAGTATATTGGTGGCATGACCACCCGAAGATCGTCACGACTGGATATTATTTGTAAATTGTTATGATGTGCCGTGTACCTCCCGAGTATAATTGCCCTAAAGGATTATCTTATCTTACCTGATATCTCTATCCAGCCCGACCCAAGGTTTTGCTTTTGAGACGACCCCTCCTATCTGTTTCTTTTTATAGTGACAGTGCGACTCCATGGTAGCTACATCCTTGATAGTTTCAGCATAAAAGTTATTATTTTTTACGTCAGCTATCGTTTATAATGAATCTACGCCTAATTTCAAATTGGGCATTTAAAAAGTGTCCTTTGTAATACAATATCGTCGCACACTAATTTGCATAAAGCCATGGTCTGTTCCAAATAAATAGCTTTGGACTTTAAAAAACCCCGCATTGCTCATTTCTGCACTAATTTCTCCTCAGTAAAGTCCTTTTTCTCCGTTTCCTATCTCTCTACCACTGAGACTGCATCTTAAAATGGATAACATCAAATAGCTAACAGTTACTTTATTCCAGTAGTATATATGTTACAGTGAATATGTCAAATCAGGAAATGTGTAAACTTCCTGGAATATTTAGGAAATGTGTGTACATTTCCTGATTCACTCAGTAAATGTACACATTTCCTGAAATTTTCAGAAAACTTACAAATTTCCTGATTTGAGGGCCTGATTTGTTGACACATTTCCTGATACGAATTTTTTGCTATCAAATAATACAGCTTCGATTTAAGGGACAAACAAAATTATCAATTTACACGAACTCATTTATTGTGGCAATTCAAGCTTGAATGACAACGGCTATTACAATTACGTCCTGCTTTGTAACATTTACTGCTTTGTCCCCCTTACGAGGGACGGGCCCCAGCATACTGACACACTGGCATAATACTGACTGACTGACTGACTGAGTTTGGTTTTACGCCGCTTTTAGCAATATTCCAGCAACATCACGGCGGGGGACACCAGAAATGGGCTTCACACATTGTGCCCATGTGGGGATTCGAACCCCGGGTCTTCGGCGTGACGAGCCAACGCTTTAACCATTAGGCTACCCCACCGCCCCAGTTCATAATACATTTCAGGTTTATCTTCAAGCTCGTTTGTATTTTCATTTCTAACGAAGCGATTTCTAAGGGCTTGCTTCGACCACACCCCCGTTGTGTGCGGACATGAAGTCATCCATTTGTGTCAAGATCGTTTAGTTGAGAGTGAAAATCGGTTTTCAATGGACTTGCAGAAATAACAATAAAGAATTGGTAGGTGTCATGAGTGGTGCTCGATAGGCCAATCGTCCATGATTATGTTTACATGAAGTTTTAATCGATTGCATGCGATGGTAGCGAAGCGATAGGCAAAGCAGGCGGGTGGGGTGCACAGAAGTCATGATGTATTGTACTGTGAAGCATTTCGAGTCAGGGGACATCTCAAATTTTATATATTTTCTTAAAATCTTTAATCCTCGCAAAGACTCGAGGGTCTGTGTCGCTGACATCAATTTTTTGCAATGTTTGAATGAGTTTGGGATCAAAACTCTATTTGAAGGAAATGGAGCGAGAGGACTATTTGCCTCTGGTTGAACCATGCTTATTAAATAAATACAATGTTATGCCTGGCTGATGCTATGGGCAATCTCGTAAAACACTGAATATTTTTGGACGAAATCATTCCATATAATAACTAACCTCTTTTTCATAGCACTCAGTACTTCACCAGTCATCAAAACATGTACTAGTATACCAGCAGTATCGAGAATATACAGAGATGTGTCGCAATCGAGAGAAATCGCAATGCAAAATCTATACAAGTGTCCAAGGCAGTCCACATTAATCTTCGTCAATAACCTCATCACAAGGCAGTGGTGTTGGGTTTAAGCAGTAACCCTTGCACCTGTAATTAAGCTACTTGGAATTCTCTTCTTAGAACAACTGCAGTTGGAACCACAGGGACGTGTCACGCTTAGAAACAGCGTTAGAAAGACATATAGGTATATAGACCCTTCCCTAGTACTATATAAAAGGCTTATTCTAAGCGTGACACGCCCCTGTGGTTGGAACCTAGTCTTGAATGTGGGCAAGCACAACTAACGTCAATGAGAAGATCGTCAGGGGGCAGCAGGTTTGTCATTGATTGTTGCAACGATAGTGCCATCCACAGTTTGGAATCCATATTCATGTATGTCCAACATACGAGGGCCTGTGCTTTGCCCCCACAATATCACCTGACTCCACAATCTCATTAAAATCAGATCTTGCTCGAGAGAGGCCATACTCACGGCCAAGGTTACCCGAGAGATGTTGCGTTTAGTGAGGAATTGGATTTTGAACATGCACATGTATATTGATCTAAACCCGATTTTGAGTGAAAAAGCAGTTACTTGAACATAGTCGAACGTTCCAACACCCATAGCTGATTAATGATTGAGAACAAATTTAGAAGTAGGACAAGAAAAGAATACATTGTAAGATATGTTGAGGGTAACACGCGAGTATTTTGAGATGGTAAATATCCTGTATTAGGAGCAAACAAGTGTAAGTTATGGGGCTGGACGAGCTAAATAAATAGAGTTTATTCCAAATACAGGTATTTACATTTAGAAATACACAAGATAGAACTATACTCTTGAAGCATGACCTACTGTCTTCTTAATTGAAGTCCAGTCCTTAAGTATGTGTATCAGGGTGTAAATATTGTGTACTTTAATGCAGCATTAACTTAGGAAATCATTTTTATGTATTTCACGTAGACACCAAATTCTGAACATGGGTCGGTCGGTCGGTCGGGAAAAAAACCCCAACTTAGTAAAGACAAAATTATAAAATTATCTGGTTCTTGAACTTGTGGCAGCGACTGATTAGAAGATAAACATTGTATATGACGAGGCGGTACGTTTTAGGTTCGAGTCGGCGGTGTTGGAATGAAAAAATAATGGGGGGTGGGGATGGGGTGAACCGGCAATAAAATTAGAAGAGAAATCAGAAAATAAAAATGCTGCCCTTAGTTAGACAGTTGAGGTAAGTACGGTAACAGCCCTTTCAACTAACCTGAACACTCCCTCCTCAGTAGGGTTGTAATAGTAATCCTCTGTGTGTTCCAGCAATAATTTGGCCAGTGATTCCCAGTTCTGTTCTGTCTGTAGAATGCGACCAGATATTTCTGGTCTCTGCTGCATCTCAACTCTGCATGGTCATCATAGCTCTGTAACAACTTGCGCTAAGTCAATTTCGATATTTGTTTATTTATACCAGCCACGCAGAGAAACTGCACACACATAGGAAATCAAATCATATACTGGAACTACCCAAATACAGATGTAAACACAGTAATTAGTAACTTGAACACATATGCATGTGCTACGTACGTTTAGTGACGTTGGTGGTTTCGGTATGGGCACGTGCAATACGTTTGTGCACGTGCATCTCGATAAACCTCGTACAAAACCTGCTGTAGATTTGCGAAGCTCGGTTGTTTGGTGTTTGATAGTTCAATAAGTTAAACGGATTACCAACAGCA